AACACGGACGGATGTCGGATGCCAAACACGGTGGAGTTGGACGTGGCGAATGGTGACGGGGGAACAACAACTATACATGTGCACGGAATCTGGTCGTTTTGCCAAAAACACGGTTGATATAATATTATATAGAGTGTAAGTATGGCAAAATATTAGTATTATTATTACTGAGCGAAAATCATTGACCCAGAACATAAATCGCCGCCCAACTAGGTTAATATATTGGCTAATGTTCTATGATATCATATTAATATCGTACCGGTCTGTTTGTCATACTATTAAACCATGTAAACCACGTGAACAATATAGGGTTGCTGTACAGGGTGATTCATTATGGATAAAGACACTCATTTTTTAAAAAAAATTATTGCAACTCTTAAGTTTTTCTTTTTAGACACACTAGACTATACAATAATATTCAAAATGTTATCAATTATCATTTCTTCTTAATGGTAATGCATGTACATATTTAATTAGCTATTTAAATTAAGAATATTGTGCAGATAATGTTGGCTGATCCATAATTAGTTTTGGATTATTGCTTTTAACATTGATAATGTTTAAAATTTAGGACCGAAGCGTGATGGAATGTAAAGTAATGCGCGCGGTTAAAATGAATGCTATACCCTTCATACCGTCCTAAACTTTAAACTTTTAAATAACACTAAAAATAATTGTGCAAACCTCAAATCAAAGATGTATCGTTCGGGCCAGCGGTGTGTTTGTTTGGCGTTAAAAATATATTATACCATATAGTGGTGTATGTTATAACGTATTTGCACATAATATAACTAGTAACTACGGTACTCTGCGGCGCAAAAGACCGTGCTGTGTACAATAGTCCAATTTTTGTGGTGTTGTATTAATTATTTTCCTCGGCTGAGTGTTAATGCCCTTTTCAGATGCGTCATTACTTCTGACAGGCGTACGACCCGTCTGTTCTGACGAGATAGTGCCAAAATGATTACGCCTATATTATCTACCATTCGCGGTCGGTCGAGGCAGACATCCCACAAAGGTCGTAAATCACAACGATTTTTGCAAATTACAATAATTATAATTACCATCGCGACGTCGTTGGTGTAACTGTGTGTCGTATAAAAAGTGAAAACCCGATTAAAAAGTAAATAATGACCTCAATAAAAACGTTAAGACGAATAACATTACCGAATACACTTCGCATAAACGGCCCGCGCTGTAGGAATTAAATCTAATTAAATTAAATTCAATTAATTATTAAAATCCGGAATCGAGTAGAGCAGTTGACATTTATTTGTTAACGTTTATTCGTTTTAAATGGGGGAAAAGATATCAATGCATTTACAGGGTGATACATCTGATATAAGATTCTTCTCCATCCCCCTTTGTACGTAAAAGAAGTATGAACATCATTTTTTTTCAAATGCGGGCTTGTTTTTAATTCCATAAATGTGTAGACAAAAAATGTTAGCGTTTGCATTTTTAATTTTCATCAATCTGTTCGTTTGCTATGACTTAGTAAAGATTTTCATTTTTCTCCAAACTGTTGTTAATTTTCTTTCGTTATTACTAAGACTAGCAGCCGTCACTGTGTTTTAATAGGTAGATAAGAGCCGCTCATCTATCATTATCACAAAGCAGGCAGATAAAGAATCACTTATTTATATATTAATATTTTTTAAAAATGTGTAACGGTGGTCAATATTATTATTTAAAGGTAACTCGCTGAGTTTTCGGTCTTTAAAAACTGAACAAAAAGTGATCTTAAATTCAAAGAAATTTACATCAAAGTCATAAGTAATAAACCAATTATTAAAAAATTAAAAATACAAACGACAATTTCAAAATTTAATAATTTACTACCCAGTTATCAACATAAAAATATGGTTTGCATTTGAAAAAACAAAATGTATAGTCTTATTATGTATGAAGGAAGATGTTAAACATTTTCAAAATACATATGTACACGTATAGGATAAAAATAACTTAAAAAATATTCATATTTTCCGAGGAAATGAGTGTCTCACATCAGATCACCCTGTATATTGTTGTACTTTATTTCTATAGTTTCTACAAGAGCTTTTTTCAATCTCTTTTAAATGAACTCTTAAACAAATTCAATTAATGTTTTAACTTTTTATACAAAACCAAACAAATAATTCTTAATTATCTTTTTTACTCGAAAACAGAGCTAATAATATCATTTCAGTTGCTAAAAATAAGCGATTTAGGAAAATTTTAAAAATCTGCACAAAATGCAGATGTTGTAATAAATACTCAGATATGTTACAATACCTACCTATGTTTATGTAAAAAAAATTCTATTAAACCGGTGACAAGAAATGTTTAAAGAGTTATAACCTTAAGTAATAAAAACGAATCATAAAAATCTATAGGTATGAAATTCGTGCCTCGAGCTACAGTACTTTGAACAAAAACCTCTTGAGATTTTTTTTTTTAACTCAGAAAATTACCTTTTGGGTAGAAAACTAAAATAGCAATACAGAAAACAACTGATTCACATGGCATCTAGGGAAATGCCATGGTTAGAAGCAGTAAAACAACAATAATTGCAGGAAATCAAAGTTTTAAGGGCTTAATATAACACAAGGTTAACGTACAACAAAACCGAAGGTTGTGCAAGGATGTATAATTTGGAAAGTCGTAAAAGCGTGGGTTGACATTAAACGTTGGTCAACCCGGACCATTTTGCCTCGAAGAAAGCACATTTAAAGCTATCAAAAGTGACAAGCGAATATAATCAAACCAGACATAGTAAAAAAAAAATGATTGTGTGTATAAAATGATAAATGTAAAAGACAAAATAAAATAGACTTTGAACATGTGTATCGCATTGTATGGCTTGGCTCCAGCGTCGCTTTACAGATAATAATTACCGTAGAAAATGTGGGAAATAAAATAATGTTATTTTTACTAATAGAGTTCACCTATCCTATGAAGTCCGCATTAAAACTTTTCGAATTTTAAGCAAAACCCTAAAATCTATCACGATTATTCTTTGAGGGAGGCCGAAATGTGTCAGGTTATACAGTTAAAAACAATAAATAAGTACATTGGTTTCAATAGTTGAAGTACCAAAAGTCTTAACTAATATTTTACTCGTATTAGAACATACTATTTTACTACTGAATGTAAAAAAAAAGTTGCGACAAAAAGCACCGTTGATAGATTTTCTTTCAAACGTACACGTATTGCCAAATAATAGCAAGTCTATGACATTCTGCAGAATTTCGAGTTTACTCAAATGTATTTTTAAATAAAATAGTTCTGCACATGTATTTTTAAACTGGTACTTGTATGAACAAATATAAACAAAATGATGGCATAATATACTGGATAATGCTCTAGAGAGAACTCCAAACAGGAGCCTTTATATTATAATAATACATGTACCTACGGTGTCTATTTTAGTTTACAAAATGCGCGAGAAGAAATACATAAAACTAAAATCGGCAGTGGTTGTAAAAAAAGTAAAAGTTTTCACCGAAAAAAATACTAAGAGTTTTTCACAAAAGTTGTTATTAAAAAAGTAAAAACTTTTATAGCGTTTAGGTGATTTTTTCGATAACTGCCGGTTCCGCACGTCACAAGCCGGCTATTATTAGACTCATAGATGTATAGGTATTATAACCGTGTCAACTCCGGCCGTAAGATTTTTATCGAACGATTTCAAACCGCTTCCGGATTATAAGCCACGCACATTGGATGTTAAAAAATGAAAGAATAAATAGCCGTTCGCTTTTCGAGTCTACATTAGCACCTCACTGTTGACGTCAAGGGCTAACGGGCCAGCGGCCAAGGGCTGAGGCCAAAGACATCATCAATAATTATTGTTATTACAACGATACCATCGACACGCACAGTCCGGTCGTCGGCAATAATGAAATGTTCAAAACCGCTATTTACCTTAGGGTTCGAGTTCAAAAAAAACTGCATGATAAAATTTCAGTATTCTTTTCTGGTCCCGTACAAGTTAAATTAAACTATTCCGCTTTGCCGGCACGTCTCGTACGTATACAATGTGTATAAAGCGTAACCGTTAACCGCAAATAGATATAAGACCAAGTCGCGCGGAAACACTTAATCTACATAGTTCATCACTGACACAACACGATCGATCACCGAGGGACATATTTGGTTTGACCCTACTCAACGTGAAAGATAGAACGCAGGTCGCGGGTAAGTAATCCCACCAAATCTATAACATATTTGGAATTCGAGAGAGCTTTTGATCGATTTCCGTCCGACCGACGACACACTTGGAAAAGTTAGTTTTTTCAATAATTTCGTAAGATTTCCTTAAGAGTCTCTAGCTATGAGAAATAATATTGATGACAAAAATTTGTTTTTCTCTTAAAGGAATAACATTGGACCATGAGTGTATGTCTTATGGTACCTATATAATAAGAAAAGTTTAATATAACACATTAACCACGCTCTATAATTTCAAATATGTGTATGAATACATATTTGAATATGTTCAATTGCCGTCCCCTCCCTCTATCTACAATATCATACCTTCCCCTCCCTTTGTTACAGATCGCTTAACATCTTTCTCTTATCAGGAGCCATTATATCAACTGTCTCTTTACATTATTCTCATAATATCACTAACGCCTTATCAGCATCCGTAATCAGCTGTTTCTTTTCACTATCGGGAAGTTTAGGTTAGGCTACCCATAATAGTCATATTCATGTCAACATATTTAAATGTATATTTTTCCATAAAAAAATATATCCGCTAATGACTATGCTCCACTGCTAATAAACGGTAATGAAAACTAATCATAAAATTCAAAATACATAAGACGCCATTCGATAAAATTTAATAATAGTACCTTAGAATATTAAAAATTTAACCGAAATCATTAACTCTATTAGCTGAGAGAGCGGTTAGCATGTTAAACTATATGGAAACTACATGCCAACCTCAAGTTAGAATACTTAATAATTATTACTTCATCCGCATCAAAATACTTATTAATATTATACTGACTTACATAGGAAATCATAGGTAAATTGAAAGCAGCCGCCATTCTTGCTTCATGTGTGCACGTTTCCTGAGGTCCAATAAAAGCTGATATGTTTTTCTTCCACAATTCCGCAGTTTCGAAAATGCTAGTTGTTTCTTCACCATAAGTTTCGGACACTAGAAATCGTAAAGAATGACCTGAAAAAAAAAAAAACATTAAAAAAATGTATTTATAAATAATAATAATAGTGCCGATTTCTTAATCTCGGATCGTTGGCTATTTATCAAAAAAGAAACTTTCTACCTAGGTACTCGAAGTAGATGAAATCATTACCAAATGTTTTTTAAAAACTCCCATAAATTGTTATACTCTTTCCTTTTCAAAAAAACACTAATGCTTTGAACATCAATTATATACTATAGATAGTACAACGTACTCCAGTACTATAACACTACACATCGTTTATAACACCTTAGGTATTGAATTATAATACAGGTAGTATAAATAATATAGGTATACATTATACTATATGGCTTAAACGTGTAAATGAGCTAACGTGAGTTCCAATTAAATTTATCCTTTATTGATTTAAGGGTCTCATATTATATTTAACGGAAAACCAATAATTTAACATAAAAGGCCGACTACGACAAATACACTACTGTGTAAAAGTTTATTCGTTTTGCGAATTTCTATATTGTAAGAAACCCCTATTATGCTTATTAATTGTAATTAAATACTTTATTAATTAAACCATCTACTATAACCATTAGGTTTAAATTTATCCAGCAACTATGGCGATATGAAATTCTTCATGTGCAGTATCTCTGGAATGAAGTGTATTCGAAAAACCAAAACACTATTGTACGTCTATACAGTGACTGCGAATTGAAAGTTGAAGGTTAATTTAAAGTTGCTACTATAAATTATACGGGGCCTTCCAAGTTAGACAAAGTTTATTCGTCTGTATATAGAAGAATAGTTTAAAACAAGTCCTCGGACCTTAAATGGATATTACGAGGAAAGAATAAAAAGTGTTTGATATTAATTTCTTAAGCAATTCAACCTAGCCGAGAAGAACGTTCCCATGTACACCCGTTAAGAAGAGCTATTTTGGAAAAAAATTAATGGCTCTTTGAAAATAAAAATTAAACTGCTAAACCAGTTAGAAGACATTTTTTTGGTTTATAACTCGTATAGTTGGTTTGAACATGCGACGACAATGAGTAACTTACACTGGCTTTATTTTGTTATACTTCAGTTTTTGCGTTTAAAATACTTCCTATGCCTACTGTAGTGTAATACTTCCTTTAATGTATAATTGATTTTAAAAAACAAACTAAAAACTACTTAATAATATTACCACTTGTTTTATAGTAACTTAAATTAAAAATAAGTCTATACATTATGCGCTTGTATAAACTTTGAAATTAACTTTATGAATAGGGTTAACTGAACGGTCAAGCTGTGAGTATTTATGTAAGATTAATTTGTCTCACAGTCTCGTTTTTTATTGTGGCTGTTTGTTAATGGTGTTTTACATCATAAAAAATGATATTGTTTCGCGGATAACAAGAAGTGTTTGATGAGAATCGAATGCTATGAAGCTGTAAAATGGATGGGCTACATAGGTCTGACACTAAATATTGATAAATGAAAGACCATGACGTTTCCCAGTAAATGATTTTCTAATGGGTTCAAATATCTCAACACATGTTGACGGTTGTGTCATTGATCTTGGCTTTAAACCAATTAAGGTTATTTTGATTCTGCGTGTTCCATATTGAGATTAGCTAATAGTTTAAACTGTCAATATGAAATCACTCTACTGTAGTCTGGTTCGTCGAATATAGGAATGTGGTGAAATTAAATAAAGCTTTCGTTTACTAATTATTCTTGCCAAATCTTAAGGCTAAGAGCCAGTTTTCAAAGTTTTCTGGGTTTTATGACATTTCACATCTACCACTAAAATATGCTCCACTTGCCATTTTATCGGCCAGTTAGAAAAGTCTGACAAAAGTCATAAGCTAAACGCAGTCATTTTTTAAATTCTAATAGGAAAAAGATAAATAAGAAGAGTGTACATGTAAATGTTGTATATTGATCAGCATTTATGTATTATAAGTGTGACAAAGCAATTTATACATTACCTTTATCTTTAAATATGCCTGCGTTTATCTCTTCTGTTGCTAACGATATCGCTCCACTTATCATGCGACCAGGCTTCGAGTACGTGATGTCACCCGGACGTCTTCTGGAGCCAGTCAAATAACCAAGAACAAATTCATCTGTCCGTCCATCCGTGGCCAACTGCAAGCACACCAATACGACCAGCCAAAACATGACCCGTTGACGAGTTCAGCCACCAACAAATCTGTTGATTTAAAAAATATATATAATATAAAAAAGTCAAAACTACATTGAAACAAAAATTTTAAAAAATATTAATTCCCCATTTAATTGTTTTGTGTTTCAGTCACTTTCATTAAAATAAACAATCATGTTCGTCGCGAGAGAGCAAGAATCGTTTAAGCATAAAACATCAGAATTAGGTATGCAAGTTATCATTTTTATAAAATAATATTACGTTATAACACTTAGTTAGAACTTTAAATTGTCTGAAGAGTTTTTGTGGAAACATTGCGGAAATTAATATTTTCAACAAATACAATATGCTATGTTAGCATATGTTAAAAATCGACAAATTATTAAAATAAAATAAAATGTAAGGAGTTCATAGTATATTTTATGTATTATTTTCGATATTATATGTATACATTTATATTACCGGTGACTAATAACCTTACTGTATATGCTCGGCATAAATGTTAGTAGCTTATCATTATAGTATATTAAAAGACAAAACTTGAGAAACTAAATATCTCTGCACCTACTACGCGACTTAAAAATAAACCTCGTGATGTCGTACGCAAATTATTTTTATAATACATTCATGGCTGGAATAAATTTGACTTAGTCATACATTTAAACTGTTAAATTCTTCAAAATCACCGTAATCGAATGACTACAAAACTTTTATAAATTTAAAAATAGACATTAAGGACATGATACTGTTTTTGTAATTCATGAAAATTAAACAAATCAAATTATGTTTTACAAGAATATATAAGAGCTGAAAAAAACTAAATTATTTGTATTTAGTACTGGCCCCAATGATAATCTATTTTTTTTTTACTACTTAGAAAAATAGTATACGTATATCACTACTCTAGTCAACTGCTGAACTATAATAATTGTAGCTTTACTTGTTTACTTGGCATGCATTTTATGTATTTACAGAGTTTTTTTTGTAACACGAATGCACGTTAAAAATTTCGTGTTTTGTCGACATGTTATTAGGTAAGCGTGCACAATATGATAAACATTATTATCTGTTCATAATATATTATATGCATAATACATAATTTGTTAAATAATTATAATGACAAAACGTGAATTAACTCAACGATGACGGATGATTTATTAAAAACATAAATAAATAAACATTTAAAACGAAAGTTTAGCAATTTTGGTAGACATATAATACAATTTTGTGAGCTTGACATGTTTTATTACATTGTAACCTAAGTTAAGTAACGCGATAATAATTTGATGGCGTTTTGTTCGGATACAAAACAATATTATGCTGTATCGTGTTTCTCTTTAAACCACCGTAGCAAACAAGAAGCATCCTCGAAGGAAAACAAACACAATTCACAGTTTGTTGACTGAAATCGAATTTCGCGTTGATTAACTCCAATTGAAATTCCGTTCTTTATCCCTTCGGCGTAACGTCGTAACAATAAAGTATAAGTATAAGTATATTGATCATACAAATATAAAACAATATAAGTTAAGCAGAAAAATTTGTATGTAGCCTGTAGCTGGTTATACCTACTGTGCACAGGAAAATTTGGTTTAAACTCTCTAAACAAACACAAAGAGACCCCCAAGAAAAATAAAACAATTCAATTGCATAAACTATAAAGGCTAGAAATTGTTTTGTTTGTGCAGCCCTAGTGTCAAAGATAAATATAGTATTGTATTTAGCTTAAACGTCTATGAACTCCCAATAACGGAATTAAGTACACATTTTTTGTGATCACTGATATGCTTTGAATCAATACATTTTTTTACTGAATTATTAAAATGTATTATTTAATAGACTAATCACAAATCACTATTTAATGCTTAAGAGGCTATTTTTTTTTAAACGCTTATGAATTAGTTTGCGCATCGCTCCATTATACACGTTACTTGCTTATACATAATTGTAATTTATTGTAAACATTTCAGGTCGTGTACTTTTACATGACATAATATCACTGTTGTTCCCCGTTAAAAAAAATGTGTATAGAAAATCATGTGAGTCTATTGAACAAATATCGTGATATATAATAGATCATATTATTATTGACCACTAGCCGATAGTGCACAATCCGATTCTGAATCAGAGATTTAATTAGAAAAAAATATCGGGAATCAGGTTTTTTCGGCAGATATGCTTAAGTTTATGATTAGTTCAACTAATATAAAATATTGATAAAAAAAAATAATAAAAAAACATAATATAACATTAAATTTTATTATAATTGACCAAAAAAAGTATTTTATATTATCGTCTGCCTCTAATCCTACGCAAGCCTTTCATTAGTTGAGTACTCTGGTCTCTGTATTTTAATGGCTTAGTGTCTCAACAATGTAGGTGCACAATCTGTTTCCAGATAGTCTTGAAAATAATAAAATCGTACTTAATTACTTACTGTGTTTAACTGTCTAGCGTTTTATAACTTTAGGGCCTAAAATCGTATAGCTCAAGTTTAAACCATTATAGGATCCACAGTATTAATCATAGGTCTACGGGTTTTGAGTAGTTGTACAACGCAATCATTTCTAGACTCTTATCGCCTCGGGACGATTAGAAGACTTATTTTGTTTGGTAAAATGATAAATGTCGTTTAAACACAAGACAGTTTTGAATCTTTCACGTTGCTATTAATACCGCAGCCACGTTGATCTTCTCATTTTTGGCATTTAATTATTATACTTACAACAATGTACTTCTCGTTTTTCTTTTACGGGACTTAATTTGTTGTTCCACTTTTATATAATACAAATATAGTATAATATACAAGGTAAAAATAATATCCGGCGAGTGTCACCTCGTTTATCAGTCAGTAGTTTCGGCGCCGTGATTTAATTCCGCCAATGACAGTGTTCTAGTCAGAATATAAACATTTATTATGTATTTAACAAGTATATAGTGTAGACGATGCGACGCCACCCTTATAGTAGAAACCGTACACGTCTTTAGGTGTACGGATTAGGACACCACCAGACATGCATATAGCGATTGAAAAAGATTTGCACAAGACTTAGGGTGAACTTCACCAATAGGCTGCACACAAGTAATACGTACAATAGGGACCGATAGAATTTAATATCAATCCGCACGCTTACCTTAATTTATTGTCTGAACTAACACAACAAATAGTATGGCCCTCGCATGTCAAATCACTAATAATAAAAGTACATAAATAAAGTTGTAGCTAAATCCATATAGTGCAATCACTATATGGATTTAACTACCGTTGCAATTAATAAAGTTTTGACGAATGATTTTATAAGGGGTAAAACATTTTGAAATGATGGCGACCGCTCATCCGTAGTGTTCTAGTTGCAGTGTTAATTTAATTGCATTTATTGTTAGTTAAAAATATTATACATTTAGAGTCCTTCTTCTTTTTTATCCTTATCCTATACAAATGGAGTCTCAAATCCCCCCAACTCCACAAAATATATCGCTTAATTCGTATTCATTCTGCACATCTCATTTATGTCTTTGTTTGTACTTTATAACTTCCAGCCACTATTTTATAGGCCTACCATTTCCACTAAAATTCTCTACACTAATCTCTATTACCCACATTACTCATTTCCTTCCCTTCTTCCGTGATACACAAATCACCTCAATTATTCTCTTTATTTAATTTTCCTATTTTGTTGGTTGGCATGTTTCAAACATTTTGATTTTATTAGACATATTGAAAAGTTTTTTGTTAAAAAAAAAAAATTGTATTATCTATTTTTCTTTCTTGTTTAAATTACAAACTTATAAACTCTAATATCATGATCTATTCCCCTATTGGCTTCGTGCTATTAGTTTTTTTTTTTACATAACTCAGTGTAAAATTAATTTAAAAAAATTAACCTAAGAAGAATTATACATTTTCAGATAAATATAATATAAGTTGTTCGAAACCGACTTTATGTATTCATAATTTGTTTTAAATATTAGCATAAGATTTGCATAATGATACTTTAGCTACAATGCCAAGTTGCAAATATATTGGTTTTGAAATGATAAATGTTTTATTTCAACTGTGTCACAATCGTTTGAATACCATTTCAAAGTTAAATTTATTCTACTGTTCTACTATCTTATTCAACGCAACATAAATAAATAAATATATACCTATACATATATTATCTAGACAAAAGCTTACGAATAAAAAAGGAATTTCTTGATCTAAATCTCTAATACGGAAGCCAATTAAAACGATAATAGCAATTACTTAGTACGAAACTGCAATAGCCATCGAGTGGACCGGAAATGAAATAAAATCATACTACATAAATAACATTGGATTTTTAAAAGATATTAACCGTCGATGATGATATATAAATAGCGTGGGCAGTGGATCTGTCATACAATTATGTACATATCATTTTATAATTCATCTACTATAGTTAAGTAACGATCAATGAAAACGACACTAAAACGTCTAACGCAATATGTTTTAATGGTTAGGTATATTTGGGTTTAAGTACACTACAAGTTGAAGTGAATTAAATATATTCTGTATATCTACAATTGGAGTGGCGAGAACAAAAAGGACACAAGTGACAATTACCTACCTAAAAAATGTTTTTGGAGATAACTGCACTGAAGGAAGCGCAAACTAAATAGATGCACGGTGTGTTTTACATGAGCTTTCCATGACAGTGTTCCGGTGACTAACTAACCGCCGCGACGTGATATTATTTTATTTTTATGGAGTTCACATTGGTCGGCAGGATAGAATATCGATTGGGCTCTGTTCTACGTCCCTCGGGGCGATCAAATGTCCGAAATTCGCTTTTACCCAAGCCCGAGTGCGAGTGCGACTTTCGGCTTCCAGAGACAAATGGATAGACATAACGATAATTACCATTATTATAATTCCGTTTCGAAAACAAACCGGCATTCGCACGCACATTGTGAACGCGATAACATACATAATATATTTATACACATATATATATTATGTATTAATGGGTAATGTATACAGATATAATAATATAATAATTGTTATGTATAAACGGTGCGCGCCG